TATGGCGATTTGGATCACGTTTGGTAGACGAAGATTGGGCTAAAAAACAGGTTCAGGGAGTGGGGTGAGGCCAAGTTAGACATGTGGGTTCGGAATTGGGCAGAGTGCGTGGGTTGGTGGGTGAGGCGGTTGCAAGTGGAAGACGAGTAGACTGACTAACTATTGAGCTGGGAGGACAAAGGAAAAGGCTCGGTTATATGGAGGGGTGGCATAGGAACTACTGACGAGTTTGACAGCCTCGGAGACGGAGCAACCCTGGTCTCGTGAAAAGGAAAAGATTGTTCATCAAACAACACATGATATCACCCAGTTGGTGGAAAGGTCCATGCACCGATAACCTTGGTGATTAAGAGAATAGCCTAACAAAATGAATTTAGTGGAACGAAATTGAAGCTTATTATGATTGTAAGGTCTCAAATATGGAAAGCAAGCACAACCAAATGTTTTTAGAAAACCATAATTAGGAAGTTTATTAAATAATTGTTGGTATGGAGAAATAAAATCTAAAGTTTTGGATCTATATATATAAAGAAAAAGGTAGAGAATGATAAAACATTCAAAATAATAGAAAATGCCATTGGTTAATGCAAAACATTAAGAATTGAAATTATTAATTAAATGAGGATAATATGGTAAATTCACACTTTTTCATATTTAAAAAAAAATTAAAAAATTAAAAGAAAATTCAAATAATGGATCTTATTTTTATGGAACACAACTAACCATTATCTTTTTTAATTCTAAAATAAAATTTAAATTTTTTTTCAAAAGCCTTCCGCGTGTGCGGAAAGGCTAGTATATATAATGAGATAAACAGAAAGTGTGCATGGCCTCAACCGAGTAGGAAGAAGGCATGGGCCAATAAATTAAGGCATGTGTCCATTATATGGCGGTGTTTACATTCTGCTAACCCATTTTGTTCAGGATGATGTGAAGATGAAAGACAACGTTCAATGCCATGATGAGCCAAAATTTGAGTAAAAGCTCGACTAGTGTATTCCCCTCCCCCATTAAAGCCTTCATTTTAGTAGAAAACATATTCTTAACAAGGGTTTTGAATTTAACAAAATGGGAATAAACCTCTTACTTTAATTTCATGGGAAAAATCCAAGAATAGTGTGAAAAAAGTCATCCACAAAAAGCACATAATACCGAAAACTAGAAATTAAACGAGTAGAAGCACTCCATGCATCAAAATGAATAAGATAAAGAGGAGTGTGAGTAACAGACAAAGAAGCAGTACAAGGAAGTTTAACATTTTTGCCCAATGGGCAAGACTGACAAACGAAAGTACTAATTTTTTTGTGCCATGAAGAAGAGTGCATTGTTCAAAATTAAAAACTTCAAAATATTTATTTTTTTGTGACAAACGAAAGTATTTATTTTTCTTCTTAATAGTTTATTTTTTCTGTTTTTTTAAAGTATTATTGTGTTGACAATAAAGCCCCTAATAAAACTAGCACGTGTCTTCAAAATGACATATTTAAGACATTGGACTTGATTTGTCAATGATTGCAAGTACAGTGACGAAATCGGAAAAATTAAAATCACGATGACTAAATTTGATTTTGAGCCAAACCTCAGTGACCAAAAATGTAATTCAACCATTTTTTTAATTATTAAAAGGGGTTTGTTGGTTGAGCGAAAGGTTTGGGAAGACAAAGGAAAGAAGATATGAAAGAGGACATGAGGATGAATATGAACATAGGAACATGAGGGGATATGAAAAATGTGGACTGCATAGAAATATATATGCAAATCAATTATGACAAGAGATATCCATAATTGTAATACAAATAGTAATTCGAAATGTTGTGCAAAAACACTTCAAGACCTTATCGTTGATGGACTACGCAACTATCACACACAAGCGTCACACAAAGATAAAGCACACACACCAACTAAAAACTAAACAGACCACTACTACAAAAAGTGAAAAAGACGACCAGAAAAAGACGACGGCAGAACATAAAACCGTCGTTGTGTTTAAAAAGACGACGGTAACAAAAAACCCGTCGTGGATAAGTGCCTTAAACAACTAAAAAATGGAGGTACTGTTGAATATTTTTTAAAAACGACACACACAAATAAAAAAGCGTTGTCTTATTAAAAAAGTTTTCTTCAGAGTTAAAATCTAACCAAAAAACAACGACAGCAGGTATGAATCCACCGACGTAGAAAATAAAGACGACAGTTCACCAAAAAACCTGCTGTGTTAACTCCTAACTAAACACGACCAACTGTTCTTTGTCCGCGTCGTATAATATAATGGAATCCACATCGGTATACTACGACGGTTTAATTTTGGTAGCCTATGAAAATTAAAATGAGATCCCAAGAGGTATGATATCTTACCATTGAGATCTTTGGATCCTGATCATAATCGAACCACCAAAGTGAGAAAGACAATATTTTAAATACACAAATTCCAAAAGAAACCAGAACTGAACTGACCACTGCAAACTTTGAGAAAGACAATGTTTTGAAAGTTAATGATGTGTGTGTCTTGGTGTCTTTGAGATACACCAAAACGCATACATCATTAACATCCAAATTATTGTCTTTGAGATGTGAGAGAGAGTGATGATGTATGTGTGTATGTGAGAGAGGAAGACGAGCCTCCA